TATAACTTTGCTGTTTTTCAACATTTTTGCACCATTTTTTAGATATGGCCATTCTATATTATTTCAGAATTTTGGTAAAAATTTTATCAAAATCGGACGACTATATGATATAGCTGCCATAGGAACGGTCGAGAAATAAATAGGAAAAAAAATTATAGTTTCGTTGTTTTTCAACGTATGTTTATCTACTCTGAGATATAATATTTTTTTATTATTCTAGAATTATGGTATAAATTTCATAAAAATCGGACAACTATATCATATAGCTGCCATATAAACCGATCGGTAGATGTAGAGAAAATGTAAAACTGGGAATGTAAAACTGTAACTGTCAAACTGTAAACATAATAAGTATAGGTAAAATGTAATGAAACTCTGTTTTGTGAGTGTTTTCAGCATTTAAATCTATAATATAAACATCGAAACCAATCTGCAAGGGTATACAAACTTCGGCGTGCCGAAGTTAGCTTCCTTTCTTGTTGTCCTTCTTTTCCTATGAAAACCAAATCTTAATATTACAAATTGTTAAATTACATGTGCAAATTTTAGTGAAATGTTAGAAAATACCATTACTTATTAAAATCAAGCTATAAAAATATTTAAAAAATATAAACCCTATAAAGTTCCCTTATAAATCCCTAAAACCAACCAAAACTAACTAAAAAGAAGCTGATTTGTCTTCACTTATAAGAAATGTGAGTATATTCAGCCTATGCGCCATCAGCCAGCCAATACTTTACTCAATAAAAATACAATTGAGATATTGTCATGGCGATCACGTAGCAACAACGACAACGTGTTCTCCGAAGATTTGGATGCCAAGTCTTATACCGAGCCGAGCCAATGCATTCGATCTACCTACCATTACCCAGCATTGGGGTAAAGCCGAACTAAAAACTGAACTATCTTGAGGGGCAACGGCAACTCGTATCTCCCCGCCGTTCACCTCTGGCGACCTCAGTTGTTGACTTGTGCTGATTGCAGCTTTAAAAATCACCTCGACGACAACATCGTCGTACACATGTAGGCACTTCATCATAACCCAGAAAAGGCCCCTCTCTCTCGCAAGACCAGAACATTTTCAATACTTGAACTGTTTTTGTCAGGCTCAGCACGTTTGGAATATATTTTTCGAAAAGTCAGCAGCAGTCGGAGGAATCAGAACCCGACGCCATTGTGCTTATATAGTAATACTCATTTGTATATATACAGAGTATGCTGGCAATGGCCGAGGCATTCATTTTCACATTATGTGGCAAAAAAAGAGTAAGAAATAATGTCTGAAAAAACTGATTAACAAACTGTGTTAAGCACCCAAAGATCGGGCCAAAGTCGGTGCTGAATTGAATTTTGATGAACACCCGCTGACAGAGGCAGAGAGAGACCTTTTTTCAGGGCTTGGTTTGAGCCCCAAAAAAATATATAAACCGGCTCCTCGATCGCTGTTCGCAGCTTCGTCTTGGGCTCCGGAAGTAATTAATGCTTTACTTTATTTCATTTTTTTCACCTCATCCTCTCGTTGCTGCTTTTGTTTGCCACATAAAAACAGAATCTATGCCTGGCCTGGAAACTTTCACCAATTGCAGGCTGGCTCTTTGCTTTTTGCACTCTTTGACCGAATTGTTAGCTGTGTGTGTGTGTGGAAATGATGTGAATTTTCCAAGATGCCCAATAAGGCGGGGGCCACTCGGACTTGGACGAATATGGCGCTGCTGCAGCGACATAATTGTGATCAATTGCCAAGTGGCATGGCATCCTACTGACCAAAACTGGGCTCTGGAAACTCGCACAGTCCATTCTTGGCTCAGTGTTTACCCTTTGTCTTCGCTTTAATTAAAGCAACCAGGAGCCGGGATCCTACTATACATGAGAGTATCTCCTTGTTTGCCAACTTGAGTTGCCATGCCGCAATCGGGCATCTGCATCGCATCCAACTCATCCAACTCCAACTCTTCTGCTCCAACTCCTCCTCCTCCTTTGAAGCCAGCTGCCACGAGTTGAGTCCGCGGAGTTAACGATCCGCTCATGGTTTGATTGATATCCCCCAGCTCTATATGCACTGGGGAATATTTTGAAGACTTTTTGCATGATTCACTGTTTAAAAAAAATGGTATAAACTTATTTTCTGATGAGCTCCTGAAATTCCATGAGTTTATGTTTCGTAATGAAAAATAACTCAGACTTAAAGTTGAATGTATTTTGTTGTAATTCAAAACGTGACAGATTTTCGAGGAATTAAGTGTGATAAAATATATAATAAATACCCAATTCAATTTAACTCATTGAATTTTTTGATAAAAGAATGATTTTTACATGAATTTATTATACATTTGTATTTGTAATATAAAAATATAATAAATAATTAGAAATACCGAAATCTAGCTATACTATTTAATACATTTCTCCAAGTGCATAGAACCTCGAGCCTCTGCAGTCAGTAGAGAAGTCGCTCAGCCATGCCCAAGCCCAGTGGTCACCCAGTTGGAGTCGGACTGAGAGTCTGAGTCGGAGTCAGAGGCGTCTCATATCGGTCATGTCGCAAGCTCAGTTTTTTTTTACCCCAACCTCCCCTTCCCTCTCCCTGTTTTTCCGTTCATTAATTGCCAACATTTCATATTTTATTTCAACTTTATTTCTGCCTCGTCTCTCGCGCCCTTTTTCCCATTTGTTTTTCAATTATTTTTGTGGCCGCTGCTGTGTGTGTGTGTTTTATATTAATTTTTTGTTTGGTTTTTTCATTGGAATCAAGCACGCTTGTTGTCGCCAGCGTTGTCGGTTGGTTGTAGTCCGGCTATTATTTGTTTTTTATTCCTATTTTATTTATTATTTTTACTCGACTGAAATTCCGCTGGCTCAGCTCGGACCAGGCTTGGGTTTCGGGTTCGGACACCATGGCATAAACAGAGAGCAGCGAGTGTAATGATGATGATTATTATTGAATTTTGTACGCCTGCGACGATAACACTTGACACGGTCCATAGATAGTACAGGGCATCAGGCCGTCGTCATGGCATGATAAGGCTAGGAGTTGGACTTTGGTCGGGAATAGGGAGCATTGAAGATAATGCTGCGGGCCACCCAAGGTGATCCTGATCCTATTACGTATACGCCACATAGCTCTCTCTCTCTAGGCAAAATATGAATTTGTTCGTCCAACATCCGCCTACAAATTTCACATGTTGTATTTATTTTCACATCTTTTTATGGCCCATCAAATGATGCGAAGCCACGATTTGGAGAATCTGCAGTTAGCACTTAATTAACATTCGGCCCCTTTGACTTCCCCCAAAGATTTAAAATCGGTCCACGATGATTTATAATGTGAGAAGATTGCTTTCCATTCTGAAGTTTCGAGTTCATTGTGGGTCAACCTTTTGTTGCTGCCATCAGGTGGGCACATTTGCATACGAAACTGAGAGACTGAGGTTGAGATCCAAGGAGCGGATGCTGAAATTGTGGGAATTGGGGAATTAAGAATTGGAAAAGCGTTTAGCTTGGGACCAGAAAACAGTGAGTTGGCGATAAGGCTAATGTGAATGTTTCGAATAAAAAGCTGAAGATTGTTTGAGAGAAAATTATGGGAGGTTTTTGTATTTTTTTATAATTATTTATACAAGTAAATTCCTAAAAAAATTAAAAGGTCTTAAAAGAAGCTCTGTGGGATTTAAAAAAACATATTTAGTTTTCTATTTTAAGTTTACAACTAAGAAATCAAAAAATAAAAAACTTTTAGATAAGAAAAATAATAAAAATATTACAAATAATAACTTTTAAATAAAGGGTCTTAAAAGAGCTGCCTCAAGCTGAAAGTCTGAGAAATTAAACAAGTCAAAGAGACTTTGGATGAAAAGTCTCACCTTAAAAAAGAGTTTAAAGTCCGCTCCTACTTTTTCTCTAAATATAATCTCTAGCTTTACTGCCATAATTCTTACCTCATCCGACCTGCAGAGAAAAGTTTTGTTTTTATCGCCTTTCCTTACTGGATTTCCGAGAAGTTATGAAATTTCAATTGCTATGATTCACTTCAGGGGTAACGAATTCTCATATTGTTCTGGAATTATTCACCGATCTCGTTTCGCTTTTGAAATTCATTTGACTCGGCCGCCCCAAAGTATGGCATTGACCTTTGGCTCACTAAACGTATCTGTATCTACAGATGTATCTTTATTTGTATCTATACATCTCTATCTGTTATTTGTATGAATAAAAATTGGCACAAATTACCAAGACCGAAGCGCTGCTAACCCACAATTGGCATCTGGAATCTAGGGATTGGGATCTTCCATATGTCAAGCTAAAAAGCAAAGCGATTTCCCTTGCCTTCTTTTTTTTTATATTTCTGTGCTTCTGACATTGGCAATGTGCAACTGTGTTTTGGGGTAAATGCATTTAAAATTCTTGCAAAAAAAAAGTGAGTGAGAGAGGGGGGGAGTGCCGCATGTGGAGATCATCTCATCTGGCGGCATCTCATCTGACGCGATCTGTTGCTGCTGCTTTGGCTGGGCTTTGCCGAGTTTGTTTCAGTGTCGTGAGAACTTTTTCAGCGTGTGAATTGAAAACAGGAGTGGGGCAAGCAGGGGGGAAACGGAGCGTTGGGTTGCGGAAACTCGCTGGGAAGCGAAAGTGTTGCAAGTACTGACTGGGAAAGCAATCAGCAAACACAGCCAACAGTCAACCAGAAACCAGCAACAAACAAGAGACAAGAGACGAGGCAATGGCAACAGCAACGTTTGCCAGCGTTTTTGCAATTGGCGTGGGTATCAATCGAACACTCCCCTTGTAACGCCTCTGGAAAGGTTAAAAGTTTGTTTGGGAATTTTTAAAATTAGTTATAAACCTAAAGAAAGTAAGTACTAGTTGGGTTTTCATCAATTAAAATTTTATAAAATGTATTTTAATTTTTAATCAAGCCAAGTTCTTGCCTTGAACTTTTCTTATTTAAACCACAAAGCTTCTCTTAACTCTAACATTTATTTTTCCTTTTCATTTGCAGGTGAGTCTGCCGCAGATGTCCAATCTGGGTTCTCTATGTACATATCTACACATAAATACGTTCGTGATTCGACAATTAAAGGTTTGTAAAGCAATTAGGCAGCTGAGCTCGTGACGAAGTTTAGCTTAAATCAATTGAATGAGTTTCCCAAAAAATACAGAAAAAAAAAAAACAAAACGCTAAACAAACGAGAATAAAATGCCAAACAATTGGAAATTCATTAAGGCCGCTGTGGCAATCTACGCCATATCGTAATCAAATGCAGCATTCAACTTTAAACTGCAACGCCGGCGGCTGAGGCTGCAGCAGCGCAGTCAGCGGAACGCTTGCAGCGCAGTCGCAGCGTGGCACAATTGTTTTGGCCCGGCTAAAAAAATAAATAAAAGCCCCCTCTCAGTTCCCCCTCGTTGCCGTTGTCGTGGCGACGAATCCGGGGGATATAACCAACGTCATGCATGAGGGGTTTTATGGCAAGAACCGCCGAGTGTGCGAGTATTTGCACGGTGAGAAAAAATGGGTGGAATATTTTTTGGATTTTTTAGAGGGAGTACTTGATGTTGCTTAAATTATTTATATGAGAATTCCCTTAGTTTAACTTAGATGACTAGTATTTCCTCCTGATCTCTTAAATCAAGCATCCCTTGAAGTCTTAGGTCCTTTGTATACATTTTTATATTTCCCAAAAAAAAAAAACCCAAAATAGGTTTACTAGTTTTTTTTCTCTCTGTGTGTTGTGTGTGCAACAGATACCCAGCTGGCAGCCAATTGTTGCACTCGGCAATATTGGACAAAAGGCTCACTGCACAGTCACCCCTTTTAGCCCTTATTTCGGTGGTGGCGACACCGACACGCATGCCCATTGCCCCCGACAAAAGGGAGTAAGAGATGCCGCTGCCGCTGGCCCTCACCCACACCCCCGCAAACCAGAGTTGAACTTAAAAGCAAAAAAAAACAAAACAAAAAGCAAAACAAAGCACAGACCAAAAAAGCGAAGTTGGAAAAACTTAACGCCTGGTTGCCCACATCGGGTGTTCTTTTGCGATCTCCTCGCTCTACCCTGCTTGATCCCGACTTGGTCGATCCATGTGAGTGCGCACTGCGCATGCGCCAACGCAGGGGCTCAGAAGGCAATGGCAGCGGCAGAGCGGCAACATTATCAACAGGCTTGAACAATCTATAAGATAATGCATCGATGTATTGCCTTTATTGCTCTTTTTGGGGGCGGAAAGCAGCATGAAAGATTATATTATATATTATATTATATTATGTTGGAAATATTGTCCTTAAAATAAAAAAAGCAGCCAGGCATTGGGCTGCGTGATTTGCATGCCAGCCCCTTGCGATTTTGCATTCATTTGTTTTGTGAAATTAAAACCTTTGTACTGACAGCATGAATAATGCTGATAAATCGAACGCTAATCGAAGTTCAGCCCGTGTTTCGAAAAAAAGGCATTAAGTGGGTCAAACCATTTGTGTTATTTCATGTTTTAAGATTTTTCTTTTGTTCAAAAGTTAAAAAATTATACAAAAAAATAATAAATATAAATATTAAGCACACTTTTACGAGTTAATATTACGTTTTATTCATCCTATATAATTTTATGTTTTTTTTATATTTATCATATTTTTTAATATTTATTTTCTTCGTTTTAATTATTTTTTTACACTTTTAATTTTAAATTAAAACTGCTGTACTAAAATATGCGGTTCAAAACTCTACTAGTTGCTTATTCAAGTTACAATCCTCCTCAATTCACCTTCACCTCAATGGGTTGGTGTATGCACTAAACGTAGGTCTCCAGTATTTTCCGCCTAGATGGCGCTTTTCATTAGCAGTTTCTCACTATTTACCACAGATGGAGCAACTTCGCCTAATGTGGATACTTTTTCGTTATTTTATAAATTATATATAACAAATATTAAAAAAAAAATATCATAAAAAATAAGTTTTGAAACAGCTTACTTTATTTATTTATTTTGGCATTTCTTAATGCCTTAAAAAGAGCAAAATCTCTACTAAGGGAACCTCCGGATGACCATTTGTATCCAATCTATATGGTTCATGACATCCGTAAAGACACTGGGACTGCGGCACTCCGGGTTGCCATAGCTCACGATGCCCACTTGAACGTAAACCGTTTGATCTCCTAAACGCACCATGTGTCCCATGGGTCCGCCGGAGTCACCGCCGCAAGCCACGCCCGGCTCATGGTCTACACAGATCTGACCGCTACCGCATTCCACCATGTATCTGTTACGGCACTCGCTACGATCCAGGCGGTGGATTGGAATGGACTTCAGGGTGCGACTGGGTGATCCTCTGGTTCTGCTACCCCAACCAGTGGCCTTAAAATCCTGCATGCTCTCGATATACGAATGCAGACTCTTGTCTGTGATCAGGCATATGGGCTTGATGTGGGCTGCATGCGAGAATTTATGATTATTATATTTATATATAGTTTTTAAAGGTTTTTTGCATCCCTAATTTACCTTTATACTCCACCCATCGCGATAGTCGAATCAAGGCAATATCGTGAAAGCGATTGTTCCTTGTATAGTCCTTATTCCGAATAGCTTTATCTATTTGGAACTCCTCGTAGGGCGGAATGCAGTCATTACCGTTGCAGTCGTTGTATGTGGCAGTGTTGTACTCGCCCAAACGCACGCTCCTGTCAAAGGATTCAATTAATTTCAGTTAATTCTAATTTATCGAATATCTTATCACAGTTAATCTCTTATTTATTTAAAGTCATCAACTACTTACAGGGTCTCACCGTGCTGTATGCAATGGTAGGCAGTCAGTACATATCCTATAAAAATCGATTATTTCTTTCAGCAGGATATGTTATAAAGTTTAGAGTACTCACGGTGATTGATCAGCGAACCGCCGCAATGAAATTTACCGCCTGCATGCAAATATGCCATCCAGGGACCCTCGTGTATATGGGCTAGACTATTTGTGTTTTGTAGGGCTCTGGAGTCCATTCTACCGCAATTGGACTCCAGAAATTGCAACATGCCAGGCTTCAGCCCCAAAAAGAAGCACACAATCAGCGGAAACCAGAACATTTCAAGTGAAGCTTTGCGAACAAACTAACAGCTATCCATAAGTGCTAACCCCAAGAGAGAGAAAATATTATCAGCGCTAAGGCGAGCTTATTGCTTTTTTTTTATTGCATTCTTTGAAGCGAATGAAGCAAATTTTCGCAGAAATATACAGTAATTATATATTTTATATTGCATCATAAAAAATCTTATATTTTTCATGGGTAACGGTTTATGTGCCACAGTATCCAATTGGTGTAGGGAAGGACATTCGTAAAGACACTGGGCCCATTGCATTGATTAAAGCCATAACTAACCAGGCCAAAAAGCACAATATGATTACCAGCCACGGCTGGTGCCTTAGCAGTCAAGGGTCCGCCAGAGTCGCCGTTGCAGGTGAAGCTATAAGGTTGACCCGCACAGATGTGGGTGTGATCCAGTTGCCTTCCGAAGCTTCGGATGCAATGACTATTATCGTAGTGCTGCAACTCGGCTTGCTGGAGGGGGAAACTAACTTTTGTGGTGGCCGTACGACCCCAGCCGGTGACATTGAAGCTGGGAATGGTCTGCAGGAGATTCCAACGCCAGTTGGAGTTGCCTCCCATGAGCAGGCAGACCGGTCTGATGTGAACTATCAACAATTAAATGATTTAAGAAATATATAAATAAATAAATAAAATATAAATATTTTAATAAAATTACCTCCATAGGGCACTGCAGTGTTTAACCGCAAAAGAGCCAAATCATAATTGTGGTATTCCACAAAGGACCTGTGGACGAACGTTCGGTCTACCGCGTAGTCCTTGGGCCTGGGAATGCAACCTTCATTCGTGCAATCAAATTGTGTGCCTATATTGTAGTCTCCAAGGCGCACTTTTCTAAAGAAAAATGAAAAGTATATACTATATAAAAGATCTAGTTAAGACTTATTGAAAACATACAATCCCTGGTTGGTTTTGCCACGACAATGGGCCGCCGTCAGTACGTAACCTGCCATTAAAAACTAGGTTATCTGCTGCCAAGGTTTAAAAATAAAGATTAAATAAATTACTTACGAGGGCTAATCAGAGAACCTCCGCAAATAAAAGATCCCCCTTCGATTATTTGCGCCATCCAGGGATTATTGAGTATGCTGGCATCTTGACCATTAACCACTTGTACATGGACTTCCTTGGCACATTGCGGATCCAGTAAATACGGTGGTGATACGGCTTCTACTCCGGGTCTAAGGATCGCAAGAGCCAGACAAACAAATAACACGGCTGCATCTTTCATTATCATCAGCTTAAGTTGAGAAGCTTGAACTGAGCTATGCATGGCAGTGCCTGTGCCTTAATAAGAGAGTGGCTTATCAGTAGCTCTCGTTGAATACGCATATTTTTAAGGCTGTAATCAGTATTTTATTCTTGGAATTCGGGTATAAAGTCTTTGTTTACTTACTTTGTGCACTTTGCAATATTTTGTTTGCTTTGATTTTTGATATATATTTGGGATTTACGAGCTTCATTGAGTTGTTTTCACTTAAAAGTATCTACAAAAAAAGTATATTTATAAATTTCAAAAATATAAGAGAACAAGATACTTGTATCATTAGGACCTCCAGAATCTCCTCTATAAGAGGAGAAAACCATATCCCCAGCATATATGTCTCAAACAATAAAAACCATTCTCATATTCAGTGGTTTTTATTAAGCTTCTAGAACGTCCCTCCCAGGCGAACAATGTTACGAATCCAATTCAAATGGGCCATAACGTTCGTAAAGACAGTGGCATTCTCGCAGAGCTCTCCTCCAAAGCTTACTATTCCAAACAAGACCATTATATCCTGGCGATTATATATTATCCTAGCACCCAGAGGACCGCCAGAGTCACCATTACAAGTGCTTGAACCAAAGCGTTGACCACAGATATGATCGCGATTGATATTCGCATCCGGATACTGACTTCCACAAGAGGTCCGGTTCAGGTTATAGAGTGTGGTCTTTCGAAGTAATCGACTTGATTGTCCAGACTCCGTCTTACCCCAGCCGTAGACACTGAATTTGACAATGTGATCTTCGAGATGCGGAACCGAGGGCCTCAAGAGCACGCAAATGGGAAAGATGTTGGCTGCAAAATCGGTATATATACTTCATATATATCTTTTTCATTTCCAACTAGATCACTGAACCTGTGTACTGCACCCTTAAGGCCAGCCTTAGTAGAGCCAGATCATGCCTTTGCTGTTCATAACCCTGGTGGATGAATGTGGCATCCACTTCGAACTCCTGGGCCTGGTCTATGCACTGTGAGTGCCTGCAATCCCGTTCTGTCTCTCGATCATACTCCCCCAAACGCACCTTGCTGTGGCGTTAGAGAATCAGTGAATCATAACCTTTGGAAATCAAAGTTACTCACAGTGGTCCGCCACCAAGGCAGTGGGCGGCCGACAGAACGAAACCTGTGGGTTGAAGGTCAGCTGGGTTTTCCTTAAATCGAAAATCGAAATACTTACGGCTGGTGATCAGCGAGGCTCCGCACCTAAAACCCTCCGGACCAATGATAATTGCCATCCAGGGAGTGGTGGCTATCAGGGCTATGCGGGCTCCAACCAATTTATATCGCTGGGGAGGTAGCCCACAGGGTTCCTCCAGAAATTCGCCTGCCTCCTGGCTGTACGAAAGCGATAAGCAGGCCAGCACTGCCAGTAGTGTTTGCTCCGGGAACTTCATCTTGGGACTGTTAGTAGATCGCAGAGCATGGACAGCTTTCCATTGTTAACGCAGAAGATAAGACCATAGCTGATTGACCCCGGGGTTTCATCCCTAATCGCAAATGAGCACAAAACAACTTAGCTTTAAAAGCACATTTTACTCTTCAAAAAAAATCAAAGAAAAATGTTTCAAAGTAGATCAACTAGATCTTTTTTTTTATTAAACTATGAGTGAAACTTGAATATACGTTTCGGAATAAGGAAAGTCCAATCAATGTAATAATTGTAAGGAGGTTTAACAGTCCATCCATTGGGAGCTCTTGTGGTCTGGCGATGATTCTTATTTGGCCTCCGATTCGGTGCTATTGTGTTCTGATATCCGCCCCGTCGAACGGTTTTCATGATCCAGCCTATGTAGTGCATTACATTCGTATAGACCCCAAACGATCGGCATGATATCGCTCCGTAACTAACGATTCCCAGCTGAATGACGATTTGTTTGTTTTTGGTGGGATAAAAGGCCGTGATTGGGCCTCCCGAATCACCGCTGCACGTAGCAGAGCTGGACTCTCCGACACAAATCTGGGACATGTCCACATTAACTCCGTATGCTAAGGAACAAGTCGAACGATGGATTTGCTTAATAGTGCCTTTTCTCAGCCCATCGCTCGGAGTTCCGTATTCCGTGTTACCCCAACCGGTGGCAGTTAGATACGAGATTTGCGGCAAGGGATTGAAGTTGGTGGGCAGACAGACAGGCCGGATGTAGTCTGCAAGGTAGATGGTTAAAACATGGGAACTGGTTAGAGGATATCCATAAGATTACTTGTATAGGTAACCCTTCTGGCTAGTCTGTAGAGGGCTATGTCATTCTTGGGATGATTTGGATGACGATCGTATCCTGGATGATTAATTTTTTCAACGGCGGGAATTTCAATGCCATTCGCTGTGGATTGTTTCCAGCTGAACTCGCCCAATTTGATAGTCCTACAAATAGATGGAACATTAGTTGGAAAATCGATTAAACCTAGTTTTCAATTGATATAAAAATTAAATCTGTCTTAATTCTTATACACATCTCGACTAAGAAACTACTTACGTGTATCGGTTGAAATCGCAATGGGCAGCAGACAATACAAAGCCTTAATAGAGAATAAATCTTTATAATGTAATATCTTAGGTAAAATTCTAACAACACTTACTGGCTGTTATAAGCGATCCTCCACACATGCTTCTGCAAAAGTCTCCATAGCCTGCTAAAACAAGAGTAGTTAGTTAAATATTCCATTAAATAATATCTTTATCGAAAGACTTACTAGATGAGTCACATTCGGTTTTGCTGCTAACAAACGCCATCCACGGATGTTCTAGGATACTTGTCGATTCACCGTTTATTATTCTGGGATTATATTTTAGATGCTTAGATCCACAATTAGGTTCCAGGAATGACAGAGGACGTTGTCCATTACCCAGAATCGCACAAGAGAGCAGGGTGACGAGGAAACCGAAGATCTTCATACTGAATTCTTAAATGAATTATCTGCAGGGCAAACTTTAAGCTTTATACCAGTTTCATTCTGCGAATTTCTAAAGAAATGTAGTTAAATTTATACATATAAATCCATAAAATGGTTTATTCGGGATTTTTTTCTATAAATTAAGGGGATGCAGGCCCTGATTAGCACTAATGGTAATAGTAATATATAGCCAGAATGAATTTCCAACTCGCTGGAATTTAAGCTGGGAATTCTAGAAGTGTAGAACGGATACCTAAATTATAATAAGTATAATTAGATTTTCGGAAGCATGTATTTCTTGAAAGGAAAATTTTTGTTTTTATTACAAGTAACTAAATTAACCATAAACCACATAATTTCCAGGATAATAGTAAACGGGAGAATTGCCACTAGGCATATAGTAAACAGGAGCATTGCCATTGGGATAATAGTAAGTAGGAGAGTTACTATCAGGATAATAGTACATGGGAGAATCTTGCCTAGGAGTATAGTCATAAGGTGTATTGGGAGTGGGATAATAATAATATATATTATTATTATTATTATTGTTAGTATGTGTCGGTTCATTGTGGTTCGGCCTCTGAGTTGGTGCTGGTGCTGATCCTGCCCTTCGAACGACATTCGTGATCCAGCTTATATAGTGCATTACATTTGTATAAACCCCAACCGTTCGGCAGAACTGCTCTCCGTAACTGACGATTCCCAGCTGAATGACTCGGTTCCTGCCGGCAATGGCATAAGCGGCTGTGATGGGACCTCCCGAGTCTCCGCTACACGTAGCGGAGTTGGAGGCTCCGGCACAGATCTGGGACATGTCCACATTGGTCTTAAACGTAGAGGAGCAAGTCCCGCGATTGTGTTGCGTCAAGGTGGTGGTCTTCAGTACACTGCTCGCAACTCCGTGTTCCGTTTTACCCCAGCCAGTGGCAGTCAGTTGACTAGTTTGAGCCAAGGGATTGTAGTTGGTTGGCAGACAGATGGGTCTGATAAAGTCTATGAGGAAGGAAGTTTATTCGTTATGGTTTAATAAATTAATAAGTTGTATTACTTGTATACTGCACTGTTCTAGCCAGCCGAAACAGGCCTATATCATTCTTGATGTCTTTCTTGGTATTTGTATACTGCGGATAAGGTATTTGTAGATCGACGGGAACTTGAATGGCATTTGCAGTCCCGCGAGACATATCGAACTGACCCAAGTAAACCGTCCTACGAAAGGATAACTAATTAAGCTTAACCCAAGATCTCCCTTGTTAAAATTACTTACGTTGGATGGCCAGTCATGCAATGAGCTGCACTAAGCACAAAGCCTGGAAATAATCCAACTTGATTAGTTCGTCTCCTTGGAATATAATTAAGTTTAGTTTGACTTACGGTCTGAGATGAGGGAGCCACCACAATCGACGTTGCTTCTTATAAATGCCATCCATGGATGTCCGTACATATCCGCTGTTACCCCTCCGATTATTCTGTATCTTGAAGTACGCGCTCTTGAATTTGTAAGTCCGCAATTTGGCTCCAGAAATGACACTGATTTCTGGCCATTTCCCAAAATCGCACAGTATAGCAGGACGATGGTAAGACCTCCAGTGATTTTCATATTGACTGTCTGACTAATTAATCCGATGGCGACACAAAAGCATTTATTATTCTTCCATTCCGATGATAAGCCTGGGGTCTTGGATTGATATGGTAATTGATGTATTTACATATATAGAAGACTGATAACCGCAGACTGGCGTTAATTAAGAAACAATGAGTTCTTAGAATCGAGAGTTCACTGGAGCTGTTAAGGTTACAGTATTCATTTTATTTATTTTGAAATAATCAGTGCTTCGGTCAGAAAATTAAAAACATATCAAAATGGTTCTGGAAAGTATGCTTGTTCTTTTATTTTGGATGAGAATTGCCTGAGGTTCTGAAGTTCAAATGGCAGTTTCAAGTAACCAGAATGGCTTTATAGTTTGCTTGAATTCTTAATCAGAGTTGAAACTTGGAATTATCAGCATAATTTTGGGAAAAATATATATTAAAGATTCAGCATTATACAGAAAAAACATTCTTCTTCAAAAGAAAACCCTTGGTTTTATTATTTCTAACCCATTGAACGTTTGAATTTAGTTAGTTCACTTCAAAGATTAAAACTAAGATTGAGATCAGTACCTTAAAAATAATAAAAATACGGGTTTCTTCAGTTTGGAATTTAATTTAAAAGAAAAATTAACCATAGAAACCATAATTTTGAGTATAACTTCCAGGATAATAGTAAACATTAGGATAATAGTACGTAGGGGAATAATAGTAACTGGGATAATTGTTTCTAGGATAATAGTAATATGGATAATTAGGATAGGTGTAATAATAATTATTATTATTATGATAATTATGTGTCGGATTGTTGTTATTCGGCCTCTGAGTTGGTGCTGGTGGATTCTGAACGTAACTCGTGATCCAGCTCATATAATGAATAACATTCGTATAGACCCCCAGGGATCGGCAGTATATATCTCCATAACTGACAATTCCCAGCTGAATGACGCGATCTGTGCCGTTGATGGGATAAACGGTTGTGATGGGACCTCCCGAATCTCCGTTGCAACTACTGGAGCTCGGGGATCCGGCACAGATCTGAGATATATCCACGTTGCTGTTGTACCTGGAGGAGCAAGCTCTGCGATCGTATTGCGTCAAGGTGGTGGTCTTCAGTACACTGCTCGGAACTCCGTTCTCCGTTTTACCCCAGCCAGTGGTAGTCAGATGCGTTGTCTGATCCAAGGGACTAAAGTTGGTTGGCAGACAGATGGGCCTGATAAAGTCTATGAAGAAGGGAGTCAGTTTATTCGGTATGGCTTATTAAATACATGTTTACCTACCTGTGTATTGCACTGTCCTGGCCAGCTGAAACAAGGCTATATCATTTTTGTATCCTCTTGGTTTTGAGTAGTGCGGATGACGTATTTGTGCATCAACGGGAACTTGAATGCCATTTGGAGTGCTGCGAGACATATCGAATTGGCCCAAGTAAACCGTCCTACAAAAGTATAATAAATTGAGCTTAACCCAGGAGCTCCCTTGCTGAAATTACTTACGCTGGATAACCAGTGATGCAATGAGCAGCACTGAGCACAAAGCCTGGAAAAAGACCAAGTTAATTAGCTGGTGTCCTAGGGATACAGTTTAGTTTTGATTGCCTTACGGTTTGTGATAAGGGAACCGCCACACCAGCTGTCGTGCCTGATATATGCCATCCATGGATTTCCATACATATCGGCTATTTCGCCTCCGACTATTCTGGCAGTTGCCTTACCCGATGAAATCGAAAGTCCGCAATTGGGTTCCAGAAATGAAACAGATTTTTTTCCATATCCGAGGATCGCACAGAACAGCAGGATGCTGAGAACTCCGATGATCTTCATATTGAAGGATTGACTAAGTAGAGCGATGGCAACACAATAGATTTTATAAGTTTTGAGGCCTCGGATTAAAATGGAAATTAATGTCTTTAAATATAAATATAATCATCAATTTGACAGTTATTAAGATACTGTATAATTTCTCAGAATCGAGAGTCCGCTGAAGCCATTCAAATTGAATTTAGTTTCTTTGGAAAAATATTTAAGATTGGCTTGACCTTTGAACGGCAACCAGAATGATCATTAAAGTAAAAAAATTGGCTTGATAAAGTCTGCAAGGAATTTGGTTTAAACTTAAGGCTAGAATTTGGTTATGGATTACACGAAAGGGAAACCATCCTAGACAGCCGTGACACAGCTACATATCATTCTTGGGATTTTCTCCTCCAGAGTAACAGTAGTCCTGCAAACGGGTAGATTGTCATTCGAATAAGTTTAAAGATTGCTTCTTGATTTCTCAGTTCCCAATATAGATAAAACATTCACAAGAAAATCCTTGTTTTGTATTATAACGGATTTCGGACCCTCGAAATCAAAACATCTACTTTTAAAGATGGCAAACAGTTTAAATAATTTTAAATCAATTCATTTGTAGATATTCGATTACAGTTTGTTCTAAATTAACCATAAATTCCATTTGGATAATTATAATTGGGATAATTGCCATTGGGAATATTGTAATTGGGAGGATAGGGAATACCGTAAGAGGGGGGACGGTAATTAGGAGGATAGGGAATAGGGTAACTTGGAGGAGGAGGAAGAGGGAAACTAGGAGGAGAAGGAAGAGGGTAATTAGGATTATTATTATTACTGTGTGACGGGCTCTGGGTTGGTGCTGGTGTGTGTTGATCTCCTCCCTGTTGAATGGTAGTCCCGATCCAGGCCATATAGTGAATCACATTCGTATAGACCCCCAGCGATTGGCAGTATATATCTCCATAACTGACAGTTCCCAGTTGAATGACGCGATTTCTGCCGTTGATGGGATAAACGGTTGTGATGGGACCTCCCGAATCTCCGTTGCAACTACTGGAGCTCGGGGATCCGGCACAGATCTGAGATGTATCCACGTTGCTGTGGTATCTGGAGGAGCAAGCCCAGCGATCATATTGCGTCAAGGTGGTGGTCTTCAGTACACTGCTCGGAACTCCGTATTCCGTTTTACCCCAGCCAGTGGTAGTCAGATGCGTTGTCTGATCCAAGGGACTAAAGTTGGTTGGCAGACAGATGGGCCTGATAAAGTCTATGAAGAAGGGAGTCAGTTTATTCGGTATGGCTTATTAAATACATGTTTACCTACCTGTGTATTGCACTGTCCTGGCCAGCCGAAACAGGGCTATATCATTCTTGAATCCTTTTGGTTTTGAGTAGTGCGGATGACGTATTTGTGCATCAACGGGAACTTGAATGCCATTTGGAGTGCTGCGAGACATATCGAACTGGCCCAAGTAAACCGTCCTACAAATGAATAATTAATTGAGCTTAGCCCAGGAGCTCCCTTGCTGAAATTACTTACGTTGGAGCTGGAGGTTCACTGATGCAATGAGCAGCACTGAGCACAAAGCCTGGAAATAAACCGAACTGATTAGTTTGTCTCGGGATATAATTTAGTTTAGATTGACTTACGGTTTGTAATAAGGGAGCCGCCACACGCCCCCAAGGAGCTGCTGATATATGCCATCCATGGATTTCCATACATATCGGCTATTTTGCCTCCAATTATTCTGAGCGTTCCATTACGCGATGATGAAATCGAAATTCCGCAATTGGGTTCAAGGAGTGAAACAGAGTTTGTTCCATATCCCAGGATCGCACAGGAAAGCAGGATGCTAAGAACTCCGATGATCTTCATATTGAATGCTTGACTAAGTAGAGCGATGGCAACACAAGGGCTTTTATAGGGATTCAAATGGGAATTAATGTCATTGAATATTAATATAACCATAAATTTTGACATTTATTAAGATACACAGTGATTTCTCAGAATCGAGAGTTCTCTGAAGCTATTAAAATTGGAATTCTTTTATTTGGAAAAATATTTAAGATTGGCTTGACCTTTGAACGGCAGCCATGATGAACATTAATATCTTAAAATCCGCCTTGACTTGATTAAGTCTACAAGGGAAATGGATAGAACTTGGGCTAGAAAGAAAACGGAGTCATATCTTTCTTGGGATTTTCTCCTCGGCTGAATGCTGGATGACGTATTATTTCAGCAAGACCAACTTGGATGGCATGTACACTGGGCCGCAAAACATTAAACTTGCCCAGGGTAACAGTAGTCCTACAAAGGGGTAGTTTATCATTGGATTATGTTTAATAAGAGCTTAACGATTTCTTAGTTCCCAATCTTTGCCTTTTAGCATCATTTAGTAGAAAATATACACATGCACTCCAAACCAAAACATTTATTTTTAAAGATGGCGAACATTTTAATTAATTTAAATCAATTCAATGCAGGTATTTTAAATTTAAAAAATTTTTGAATTAACCATAAATCACATATGGATAGTAACCGGGAGGATAAGTTGGATGAGTTGGATAAGTTTGATAATTTGGATAAGTTGGATAAGTTGGATAAGTTGGATAAGTTGGATAAGTTGGATAATTGAAATTAGTGTAAGTAGGAGAAGCAGTCGGAGAGTAACTAGGAGAATAAGTAGGGGGGTAACTAGCAGAAGAAGGAGGTGGGTAACTAGGAGGAGGAGAAGGGTAACTAGTATTATTATTAATATTATGTGACGGGCTTTGGGTTGGTGCTGGTGTGTGTTGATCTCCTCCCTGTTGAATGGTAGTCCCGATCCAGGCCATATAGTGAAACACATTTGTATAGACCCCCACCGATTTGCAGGATCTATCTCCATAACTGACAATTCCGAGCTGAATGACGCGATTTCTGCCGTCGATGCGATAAACGGTTGTGATGGGACCTCCCGAATCTCCATCGCAAGTATCGGAGCTCGGGGATCCGGCACAAATCTGAGATGTATCCACGATGGTGTCGTAGCTGGAGGAGCAAGTCTCGCGATCGTGTTGCGTCAAGGTGGTTGTCATCAGCACATTGCTCGGAACTCCGTCTCCCGTTTTACCCCAGCCAGTGGCAGTCAGACGCGAAGTCTGAGCCAAGGGACTAAAGTTGGTTGGTATACAGATGGGCCTGATAAAGTCTGCGAGGAAGGGGGTAGTTCATTCGGTATGGCTTAATAAAGTCCCAAGTTTAATTACCTGTATATTGCACTATCCTGGCTAGCCGAAACAGGCCTATATCGTTCTTGATGTCTTCCTTGGTATATGCATACTGCGGATGAGGTATTTGTCTATCGGCGGGAATTTGAATGGCATTTGCAGTCCTGCGAGACCTATCAAACTCGCCCAAGTAAACCGTCCTAAAAAAGTACAATTAATTGAGCTTAGCCCAGGAGCTCCCTTGCTGAAATTACTTACGTTGGAGTTGGAGGATTACTCATGCAATGAGCAGCACTGAGCACAAAGCCTGGAAATAAACCGAACTGATTAGTTTGTCTCGTGATATAATTTAGTTTTTGATTGACTTACGGTTTGTGATAAGGGAACCGCCACACGCCCCCAAGGAGCTGTTGATATATGCCATCCATGGATTTCCGTATCTATCGGCTGTCACGCCTCCGACTATTTTCATCGTTGCTCCCCTCCTCGATGATGAAATCGAAGGTCCGCAATTGGGTTCAAGGAGTGAAACAGAGTTTGTTCCATATCCCAGGATCGCACAGGACAGCAGGATGCTAAGAACTTCGATGATCTTCATCTTAAATGCTTGACTAAGTGAAGCGATGACAACACAAGGGCTTTTATAGGGATTCAAATGGGAATTATGGGAATTTATGTCATTGAATATAAATATAACCATAAATTTTGACATTTATTAAGATACACAGTGATTTTTCAGAATCGAGAGTTCTCTGAAGCTATTAAAATTGGATTTCTTTTATTTGGAAAAATATCTAAGATTGGCTTGACCTTTGAACAGCAACCATGATTATCATTAAAGTCTCAAAATCTGCTTTAATAATGCCAATTGGCTTGACTAAGTCTATAAAGGAAATGGTTAGAACTTGGGCTAGCATTTGGTTATGGATTTACCCCAAGGGGATGATTTATTATTTCCCAAGACCAGATTGGAACTTGCCCAGAGTAGTCCTGCAATGTGGTAGGTTATCAATTTATTAAGTTAATAATTGCTTAAAGATTTCTCAGTTCCCAATCTTTGCTTTATCCACAAAAAAAAAAAGAAAAACACCTTCCAAAGCAGAAGTAAATCGTAATGCACAGAGTTGAAACTTGAAATAGTCAGCACCATTTAGAAACATTTATTTTTAAAGATGGCAAAATTTTTTTAATATTTAATATTTAAAAATTTTTTTAATTAACCATAAATGACATTTGGATATTTATAACTCGGATAATTGCCATTGGGAATATAGTTATTGGGAGGATAGGGAATACCGTACGAAGGGGGACGGTGATTAGGAGGCGGAGGAGGAGGTGGGTAACTAGGAGGAGGAGGAGGAGGAGGAGGGTAATTAGGATGATTGGGCTTGTTATCATTATTATTACTATTACTATCTGACGGGCTCTGGGTTGGTGCTGGTGTGTGTTGATATCTGTCCTGTTGAATGATAGTCCCGATCCAGCCCATATAGTACATCACATTCGTATAGACCCCCACCATGTTGCAGTATTTGACTCCGTAACTGACAATTCCCAGCTGAATGACGCGATTTCTGCCGTTGATGGGATAAACGGATGTGATGGGGCCTCCTGAATCTCCGCTGCAAGTAGCCGAGCTCGGGGATGCGGCACAGATCTGAGATGTATCCACGGTATTTTTGAAAACTGAGGAGCAAGTCCCGCGAGGGTACTGTGTCAAGGTGGTTGTCTTCAGCACATTGCTCGGAACTCCGTATTCCGTTACACCCCAGCCAGTGGCAGTCAGATGCGTAGTCTGATCCAAGGGACTAAAGTTGGTTGGTATACAGATGGGTCTGATATAGTCTGCGAGAAAAGGGGTAGTTCATTCGGTATGGCTTAATAAAGTTCCAAGTTTAATTACCTGTATATTGCACTGTCCTGGCCAGCCGAAACAGGGCTATATCATTCTTGATGTCTTGCTTAGTTTTTAAGTAATGCGGATGACGTATTTGTTTATTGGCGGAAACTTGAATGCCATTTGGAGTGCTGTGAGACATATCGAACTGGCCCAAGTAAACCGTCCTACAAATGAATAATAAATTGAGCTTAATCCAGGAGCTCTCTTGCTTAAATTACTGACGTTGGAGATGGAGGTTCACTGATGCAATGAGCAGCACTGAGCACAAAGCCTGGAAATAAACTGAACTGATAAGTTTGTCTTGAGATATAATTTAGTTTTTGATTGACTTACGGTTTGTGATAAGGGAGCCGCCACACGCCGACGTGGCGTTGGTGATATATGCCATCCATGGATTTCCGTAACTATCGGCTGTCAGGCCTCCGACTATTTGGATCGTTGCTTCGTAACTTTTGCTAGTTGCTCTCCTCCTCGATGATGAAATCGGAGTTCCGCAATTGGGTTCAAGGAGTGAAACAGAATTTTGTCCATATCCCAGGATCGCACAGGACAGCAGGATGCTGAGAACTCCGATGACCTTCATATTGAAGGCTTGACTAAGTAGAGCGATGGCAACACGAGGGCTTTTATAGAGATTCAAATGGGAATTAATGTCTTTCAATCTAAATATAATCATACATTTTGACATTTATTAAGATACACAATGATTTCTCAGAATCGAGAGGGTTGTTAAAGCCATTAAAATTGGATTTTTTTTTATTTGGAAAAATATTTAAGAATTGCTTGACCTTTGACGACCATGACGATCATTAAAGTCTCAAAATCCGCTTTAATAATGCCAATTTGACCCGTAATATCTATTGGGTGACCTGTCAGGAACGTATTTGGGCCTTTGAGTTGGAGCTGGCCTGACTTGAGACTCGCGTCGAATAATGTTTTCAGCTATCCAGTCAAAAAAATGCATAACATTGGTATAAATCCCGAGACCCTTGCAGTCGGTGTCCCCGAAGCTGACAATTCCCAGCTGAGCCACTCTATACTGGCCGCCCAGATAATAAAATCCCGTGAGTGGCCCTCCCGAGTCTCCTTGACACGTATCGGACCTTGAGCTTCCGGCACAGATCTGGTACGAGGTCAGGCGTCCGAATTTTGAGGAGCAATCGTGGCGATCCTTGAGCCCCAATTGGGTTCTCATCAGGACATTGCTCAAAACCCCCTTTTCCGTAAGACCCCAACCTGAAGCAGTAAGGGATGAGTCTAAATACAAGAGATTTTGGTAGTTCGTCAGGCAGATGGGCTTGATGTAGTCTGCAAGGGAAACGGTTAGAACTTGAGGCTAGAATTTTGGTTATGGATTACCCGAAAAGGAGACCAGCCTGGCCAGCCGTAACAGGGCTATATCATTCTTGGGAGTTTCTCCATCGATGTAAGCTGGATGTCGTATAACTTCAGCAAGACCAAGTTGGATGCCATGTACACTGGGCCGCGAAGCATCGAACTTGCCAAGGGTAACAGTAGTCCTGCAAAGGTGTAGTTTATCATTGGATTATGTTTAATATTTCCTTAAAGATTTCTCAGTTCCCAATCTTTGCTTCATCAAAAAAAAAATGTACCTTAAAGCCACTTACCCATACACAAGCAAATCGCAATGCGCAGCAGTGAGTACAAAGTCTGGCAAATAATAAAATTTTCATTATCAAGAACTATGCAATGATTAAAAGACTTACTGTTTGTGATAAGTGTTCCCCCACATTGGCTTCGGCAGTTTCTATTGGGGTTTTTAGGGCCTGGTATATAAATTTTATATAAATAAAAATAATATATTTGCCACACACTTTTCACTCACACTTATTTTTAGTAAGAATGTGTGCCATCCATGGATGTTCTGGGATATCTGCCATGTTTCCATTCACTATTCTTTCCCGAGGACCTCGTTTGATGGTTCCGCATTCCGATTCCAGCAAAAAAATTGAACTTTGTCCATAGCTCAGAACCACAAAGGATAGCAGGGTGATAAAGGACCCAGTTATCTTCATATTGAATTTATAACTAAATAGTCAGCAGGCCAGGCATGGTGATTTTATATCACTTTCGGTCCGCCGATTTAAACGGAATTATAGAACAATTCATGGGAATTTTATATATTTTTCTTTCTTGACGTTCATTATATTTAGAGATAATATGTGTTTGTATGGTTTTCTTATTATTTATATATTATTTATTTGATTCTGTAGTTAATTTTATAGACAAAATGATTAGAAATATTATTTAATAAATATATTTCCTCATGAGTAGTACTCATTTTTGACAGCTTTGCTTTGAGGATATTCTAAAGATATCGGAATAATGAGTTTGAAATGTATTTATTTTATTATTTATTTGAATTAGAGTATGTACATATATTTCCAAAAGATTCTGAATATTAGTCTTGTTATTTTTAAATCCTGTTAACAAATTACAAGCTCCTCTGTTAACTTTGCGACTCGTCACGAGGCTTTCACGACTCCCCACTCGCTGTGTGCATCTGCATTCAAAGAGGGGGCCTTCCACTGGCCATCGAGCGAGAGTCCATGGAAGTGCTGAAGTCCCGTCCCAGTATTTTGGCCAGATCCCCCTATTTGCCGCTCTCTTCTTCGGGGCTGTGGATGCTGAAACATCGTTTCTTAGGAAATTCATACATACAAGCAAAGAGGGGCAACGAGATCGCTTCGTGAGATTGCTCTCCGCTCTTCAGAGCTTTGGTAACGGCCAACGCGGTTCTGGAACCGGTTTCAGTTCGAAACTCTGACTGCACACACTCAGAAAAAATGAAAAAAAAAGGAAAAAACACAAAGCAACAGGGGCAACAACACCAACACCATCGCCAGTAGTAATCATTTTCATTTGAAATAAGCAAATGAGCTGCAAAAAATGAATAGCTTTGGAATTTGAATATTCGAATCGGAATGTTCGAACTTCGAACTGAAATTAATTTTCATCTAATTATGAGTGCTTTGTTTGAACTCGCTGTGTGTGACAAGCAGGCAAAGATTCAGCAACGGTTTAATAAATGAGAATTTTATGGCTCTGTTCTGAGCCATCTTTAACGCCAAAATATCGATTCGAACAAGCTATTAAGGGAAAGAAGACTCTCTAAAGAGTTATGATTAAGCTCGCTTTTGCTGCAACTATTTTTAGCTTAGATTTTGGGGAATTTCTGAAACAATCTACTGGGTTTCAGTTCTTGAAAGTGCTTTAGCGGTTTAAAAACAATTCGTAAAAATTGTATGAATAAATGAATGAATATATTATTTTTATTAAGTGTTTTTAAAACGATAAAGCACTTTCAAGTTAAGTCGATAAGAGTATTTCATTCAACTTTATTTATTAAAATTTCCCTTTGATATTTTTAAAATATTTTTTAAAATATTAAAGACACAAAATATTCCACTGAACATGATGCTTAATAAATAATTAAATTTTCATGGCCTGTCTGCTTATTCCCTTTTGAATTTACTTGAGGATATCTGTAGTCTTGTGGCACCCCACCTGGGCATCAGAAATAATACCTTAGCCATCACTAATCACGAATGGATTCTGGATTTATTGACCTTGCCTGGGCTGCTGCTGATGCCAGTGGGGCGGCCCTCGGAGCTGCATGAATCCTTACATTTCGGAATGCGGCTGCGGTTGGATGAGCTCAGGTGAGATGAGGTGAGGTGAGGTGAGGTTCAATGTTGCCAATGCTGCTGAGCGGTGTCAACAACAGGAAAAGCAAAAGCAATGGCAAAGGCAACACCAACAGCAACAGCAACATGAGGCAGGAGCAGCACGTTCGTGGTCTTGACTTTGAGGCTGATACCGAGGCTGCTCTGTCGCCGCACGTACAACAACCATCTTACATAGCCGCCGATTAGCCAAGGTAACAACAAACGAAGAACTGGCCCAGACCCGGCTGAAGTCCAAAATGAGCTATCTCACTGCGCAAATCTTTCACTTCGTCGTTGTCTTGGTCGTGGACGTCGTCTTGGTCGTGGTCTTTTAAGGGCCTACCAGGCCTTCCAGGCCTGCCATTTATCGCAAATGCATTGTGGCAGTCCTCCACTTCGCTCCACTCCACTGTACTCGTTTCCACCTCCATTCCTTTCGAGTGCACAAGACGACTCCTCTGCATCTTGGCTCGGCTCGTCTCGGCTTTTGTTTCATGCTCCGTGGCTAATGGCACGCAGGCTCCACAGGTTGCCGCTGTTGAAGTGTTGTTGCAACATGCTGTTGTACTCCCAAGGTCCAAAAGCAAATACAATTTGTGCACTGAAAGAAATTGTATTTATTTTTACTCACAAACAATTAAAAATTCAATTTTATGCTGTCAATGTGAGGCCTAAGCACTACTTATGGTATCTACATGGTAATGGAAGTTCCATTTCCTACAGAATATTCCCAAGATATTTTAAAGAAATTGATATGATTTAAAAGCTCCAATTAGTAGAAACCCAGATAACAGATAACTTTTTCTAGATTTATTATTTTCTGTGTAAAGTACACTGGGCACACGTGTGCGTGGCTAAAACGTCCGCTTCTTGGGTTCTCCCCAAAGGGTTCTTATCGCCAGAGTCTCTCTCTCTGTTTTTGGCCAGACTCCGGCTTGGACTCTTATCTGACCGGAGTGCCATTGGCTTCGTGCTTTATGCCCGGATTAAATTTTAGCAAATCGAGAGATGTGCTAATTGAACACTCGCTATTCCCCCGAGAAAATGGCGCTCAACAATGTTGCCGGCTTACCATAATTTACATTTAGCGGCACAAGCCAACAGCCGCACATTGCAAATATTATGGGCCCAAAAGACACTGAGATATATGTCGGAGGGTATTTATAAATCGGGATATGGAAACAGAGACAGAGAGACGTTGCCGGAGATGGAGATGTGCCACTCGGACCCCAAAAGGCTACCCAGCGACTCGGCTTGGCCGCTCATATTTCACACTTCACGACAAAGCGATTAAAGTCGCGCAAACAATCTGTTATTGGAGTTGTTGCAATTATGTTTACAAAGACATTAAAAGGAACGAAAAGCGAATGGCGAGCGGAGAAATAAAAATAAAAATGCGAGAAGCACACACACATACACATAAACTCCAGTGTTAAGCTTGAAAAAAAAAACTTGAAATCGGCCCAAGAGACGTCGAGGCACTCTTTATTTTGTATTTCTTCTGTTGTTTTTTTTTTGTACTTCCAGCTTGTTTTGTGTTTTTGAAACGTGAGTCGTGCACGCTGCCAGACGACGGCGACAATCAATATAAAAAAAATCAGTAAAAAAAAAAACAGAAAACAAAAAACCACAACTTTTATGCTAAAACGATGAGATGAAGTCAATGTTTCTGGGTATTTGCATGCCACTCGCCAGGGTTAACTCGGGTTAAAGTTAAAGCTAAAGCCGAAGCTAAACCTAAAGCTATAGCCACGATCTCCCGCCCAATTAGCCCAGCTCTCTTCGGGCCATCAAAGCCAAATGTGCCGCATCATCGCGGGGCCTCAGCAATTAGCTTTAATTCTAAGCAGCTTTTCACGGCCATGTGACAAGTGGAATGCTGATGAAGCACTGAGGCCCAACTCTGATCGATCTATCTATCACCGGATTTCGATGACGAGGTGCTCTTATAGCGTAGGGCTGTGCCAAAGGGCCGGCAGTAATCCAATTATGCGCCTTCAGGTGTTAGGGCTGGCACGCGCTTAAAGTTGGCCAAAATTAGGGGAATATTTATGGTAACAAATGAGGCTATTCAAATTATTTACATATACTTAGCTCACTGTTTATAGCGGCGGTTAGCTTATTTAAATAACTAACTCTAAGGTTGATAAATCGCCCAATGTCTCTTATTTTTTGTAGGATATCTTTTTGGCCAATCTTCTGGTAGAATTTATAGGAATATTTTATTTAGTTTTCTATTTTAAAATTATAAAATCAAGGTAATATTTCATGGCGGTGTGGATTCTGAGATATTTTGTTACTTAAAATTAACATAGAACAGCATAGAATAATCTATAATTTATGAAGGTTAAACGCAGAGATTTCAGCTCAAGTAACTAGAAGTTCTTTTGTTAATTACAAACATAATTGTAAATAATAGTTATATACTTAAAAATGTATATAATATTTTCATATTCTCTGCTCCTGCTTGCCATGTGCGAATGCGCAACAAATTCGTTTCGCCTTATGGTCTCTCAAGGGGCTGGTTCATCCCTCTTCCTTGTACTGAACAATCGCAAAACACTTGAGCGCCTCCTGAGCCGATCTTTTGTTACTGTTAATCTGCGTGGCACTTGAAAGTAACGCCTCGACTTCGACTCCAACTGTGATCCCGACTCCCGACTCCCTATTCCTACAGCCAGACATCGATGTTGATGATCACGATGATGCCAGCGATACCGACAACCTGTAGAGCGACCAGGAATCACGTCAAGGGTCTGGATTCTCGAGGCTTTCTTTTGAAATTGGAAAAAAAACAGAAAAGATCATAGACAGATGGAGTGCAGTGGAGTGGAGTGGCATCGAATCGAGTTGAGTTTAAAGTAGAGTGGGGGAAATGTAAGACATTTCTCCTCGCTAAGGCATTTTGTACGCTTCATCAAAGGTGTGCACAGGGAGAAATAGATTTTACAGCATTAAAGCTAAATAAATGCGTGATTTGAATTGATTTTTTAAACAAAATCATGACCGAGGAGACAAGGAACTGTTTATAAATCTTTATAGATTGCTAAATGTTGGTTTTTCCCATAATTTACCTCAAAATTTCCTTGTTTCTCTCTGTGCAAGAGTTGGGGGAACTCGGTTTCTTACACCTTTCGAACGATTCGGCGTTTTGCGTTTACCTGTGGCAGAGAGTGGCGGAGTGCCCTGAAGTGGTTTCGGAGTTCTGAGATCGTTCTCAACTCGATGTTCGGCTGTCAGTTGCATGCTCTTCGATTTTGACAGATGATTCTGTACGGGTTGGGCTCTGGCCATGGCTGAGGTTCTTTTGATTGAGGTCTGGCCAGACGGCTATTAATATGTTTGAT